AACTTCGCTTACCTTTTTAGCTTTTCTTGGGTCTCTGTTATTGTCCATTGAGCGTTTTCTTCCTGTAACGAGTTCCCAATTATTTTCAGTAGTTTGGTTTGAGCTTAAGGCGTCCACATTTTCTGTAGAACTGCCAGATATCGACGTCTCAGACATCGTTTGCGGTGAAACCGCTACGCCGAGGTGTGGAGTTCCTATTTCTTGGAGCTAATTGGTTTCAACAACAGAATGCAACAAAAAGAAAAGTTTTCACTGTTAATTTACTCTAAGATTTTGTCAAAAAGATTTTCAAAGAAAAATTAACCTCACTTTTATCAATGTTCACACATGTGATGCCTTCAGTCAGAATAAATAGTTTTATTTCAACTTTGTACTTATACTATAGCAACATGCAAAATATACATTTTTTATAATAAAACTCTCCTAAAATATATAATCCAAAAAATCTGGTGCGCACAACACACAACTTTCACTTACCGATCTAATTTGAATAGAAATTATTTTCTGGCAATGCTAGGCTACTATACAATTTTTTTGAAGTGCATTTTAAACGGAGCTAAAGCTTAAAGCTTACAGATAACAAGTCATTAAGACCATTATAATTACAAAATGTCTATTTAATATATCAAGGACAGGCAATAAAAATCTAGTCACTCCATTTGCTTTTATAAACCACACAACTTTCTTTGCTTTTATAAACCACAGAATGACTAACTCCAATTTCAACATTTTTGAGTGATGTCATTTTAGTTGAAAAAGTTATCTATGTAGACAATGAGTAAGTTGATTCCAGAGGTGGTGATTGCAGTGTTGAAATATAGAACTGAGAATAAAAGTATAAATTTAGGTACTACTTTCTTATGAAAGATGTTCTTAGGAAAGACACTTTATTAAATATCTGTTGAAAAAAGGTTTTTTTAGTCTCAACAATTAAAAAAATATATTTAAAATTTATCCAAATTTTCACCTCTTCAGAGAAAAAAACTAGAGACCATATCTTACCTCCTAATTGTCCGATTTTAACGATTTTTTTTTAATATTTTTTTAGGAAATTCCATAAACTTTTAAAAATCCATATACAATATCGACAAAAAAAAAGGGTATACTTTTTGAGTTATTCGGAATTTAATTTTAACATCCCTCGTAGCTTTTTTTCCAGCTTCTTTTCGTTGAAGTATGTTATATAGATACATTTAAAGGGTATCGAGAAAATGACTTTAGCGAAGTTTCATTGAAATCGATGCCTTCGTTTAGGCGCTACAGTCTGTAGGAACGCAGGTTTTTCTGCATTTTTATTTTTTTTCTCCTTTATTAAATTATCAAATTCTTTCAAAAGTTATATGTAGCATTTTTTCGTAACTCTGAATAATGCGAAATGGTTAACTTTTTAAAATAAACCATATTAAAGGTAGTTTAGAGGAAGACATATATGAACATTGGGCATTTAAGCCCTGTAAAGTGACATCAACGGGGATAAGACCTAAATGATATTAAAGACCACTTAATTATACAATGATACACCGATTTTGATCAAAATCGTTAAAGTCTTTTTGAGAAAATTGTAAAAATGTGTTTCAGCGTTTATATAAAGTGGTACTTCCGGTTAGCCGATTTGAACGAAAAAGTTTCTGTCACATCCGGCCCATATACAAACCTTAAATACTTAATATCAGTTTCGTACTACTTTTCGTTTATGAGCTAGACTGTTAACACAGACACACACACAGACAGACACACACACGCACACAGACCATTTTGCGACACTTGGTTATTTGAACTCAGGGGACCTCAAAACATGTATTTCCGTTGAACACTGAGATTCGAAAATTTTCACGATCGCAATACTTACCCTTACTATATAGTACATATATACGTAAGTGAAAGTAAAAAAAAGTAAGCAAAGAAATGCAAAACCAATATTTTATTGGACCTGGTTCTTTTCGATGTTGATGATTTCTTTCAGTTAGTAGAGAATTCAGGAAGCTTTCAAATACTCATAGCTTTACTGAACCAAAAATTGTGTACTTTTTAAGTCCACTGTTATTTGTTTTCAGACTCTTTTTGAGGAAGAATGCATACATTAAAAGGGCTTCAAGGAGAGGACTTTAGCCAAGTACCATTAAAATCAATACAGCCGTTTTAGCAGTGTAATCCACAGGGACTTACGTTTTTCAGCCACCATTTTGAAACAACAGGAAAGTTGGTGATGAAATGTATATAAATAACTCCTAAATTTGATAGCAACATTGTATCAAACTTTCAAAGCAATCGGTGAAGAACTTACTAAGATTAGTGGTTTTGAAAAAACTAACATTTACATTTATATATATATGTATGCAGTCTGGCCTGAGACGGCAAGCAGTTCACTTCGTTCCTACAGTTTTTTCTCTCTAATATTCATCCCTTTCGTCATTTCTTTTTATTTTACATTTTTTTGTTCATCTATTTTCACGGTTAACCAAGTTTATTTACGTCCTTCATATTTTTTTTTCGGTTTATTAAATTATTGAAGAAAAAGTTCGTGTTTCACTAGCTGTGGACTGAAGAGCGGCAATTAATCCTTCCACTAAGCTTCTGAGTGTTAAGGATCAACAACGTGCCTCTATTGACAAACTGTCGTCTAGCCTGAATAAATATTATCACGAAAATGGTTCAGTGCTCTTTTTGTGGTAGTACCATCTCTAGGGAGGACAAATTTAATATAAATGTTGCAATAAATGACGGGTTATATTTCATGATGCTGCAGTGCTCGATAAAGAGATCGAGACATTAAAATCTCAAAAAAAGGCATGGCTTTGTAAAAAATGTGATCAAGGCAAAAAGACATACCAAATTAGAGAAAAATCAGCCAGTACACCTAGAAGTGAAATCAAGGAGCCGTCAGCAGCTGTTATTCTCGGGGTTGTTAATCGACTTAGCGCGCAACAAGTCAATGAAGACATTAAAAATCATAACTCGTCGTTAGAAAAATATGCTTTGAGTTAAATGAAAGGTTTCCAAAAATAAAATAAAGCCATCTAGAAAGCCAAGCTAAACATCTGGAGGAATTGAATTTGGAAATCAAAACACAGAAATCCAGAGTAGGAGAAATCGAGGTACGATTAAACAGAGCCAAGCAGGGCCTACTCTGTAGATTAGTAGAAATCCGAGGCATTCCGGTATGTGCTGGAGAGACTCCTTCGGCTCTGGTTGCCGTTAGCATGGGGCCGGTCTTGGGGTTAAGATCAACGTCGAAGATATCGATTTTGTGGAGCGCCATAGACCTAAAAAAGAACCCGTATCCTAGATATTTCATCCCTTTCTATCATCCTCACATAGAATTCCTCTTCGCTGAAATCTCTTAAAAAGCAAATCCTCTCCTATATGTGGTTGTATAGTGCTCTCCTTTGGCTCCTTTTGAGTCAAATCCTAATAATATTATAATTTCTGGAGATCTTGATACCAACCTCCTCTCTGAATCCAACAACAAATGCTATTTAGAAAACCTTTTCTTCTCTCTCAACCTTTTTATTGCTCCTTTTGCTCCTACACACCATACCTGTTGGTCTGACACCTGCCTAGACCTGCATATCATCGATTCAGAGCAGAAACTCTTGTTCTGTTCTCAATTACCCGTACCTTTCCTTTCTTCTCATGATCTCATCCAATTATCATACAATATCCAAACTCACACGTTTCTTCGTAAATCCATAACTTTCCGCAATTTTGACACCCTCATCCGTGCTAAAAGCCTACCTGACCTTGAAACCCTGAACTGGAACAACATTTATTCCTTCACCTCTATTGATTATATGGTAGACATTCTTACTTCTAATATTATCCATATCCTTGACATTCATGCTACTATTAAAATCTCAACCTTCCTTCCTCCTTTAGTCATCAACGATCATCCATCCCATCACATTCAGCTCCTCCGTTAAAAACTTAGCAATCACCATTGAAGAAAATCTCTCCCGGAAACCCGATGTCGCCGTAGTCTCCCGAAGGTCAATAGGTACCCTTAAGTAATTTCATCGCTCCCGCCACGTACTCCCAGTCCTAAGCCCATAGACTTCGCCAGTACACAGTCTGACTCCGTGCGTCATAGAGCTCAGTGCTGCCAACTGTTACACTGCCCACTGCAGTCCACCTACTTCTCTGGTCGTGCTCGCCTCTGGCCACTTGCAGTTTGGATCGTATGAGCGCTCATGGAAAATCCACATCTGGTCGCTGCATAGGGATTGTTGTGCCAGCGGTTCGTCCACCGTTACGAACGTTCTGCTTTGCGTCCACGTAACGTTATGCAACTTTTGTTATTTTGTTTTATAAATTTTATTTAGGGACGCTTGAGATGTTTGTTTATTGTTTCTAAATGCACCCATTTTGACTGTAATTTTGGGCCATATACATAATTTCTTTATTTTATTTCCATGAACAAGCATAGAAATATTTTGTTGAATATTTCATAATTGTTTTATTAGTATTACTCAGCTTATCTTTATTTCATTCTAGAAGTTATTTTATTTTATCTATTTAAAAAGTGTAAAAGTGATTTATTTTTGTTTATTTTATGTTTTCATTATTAATTTACGTAAATGTTTCAAAATACAGTCCACTTTTTTTTGTTAAATCACAATTAACTCAATTTAAATAATAGTTACGCTTCATCCGCAGTTTGACCAGAGCTTAACACATTTATTTAACAGCTTAACACTAAGAGGAACTTAACACATTTATATATGGTATAAAGCAATTTTTCATAATTTTATAACAATGGAACAGCGAGAGCTCATTGGATAAGTCAAATTAAACCTATCTTTCCCCTACAGGTTTTAGTTCAGCAGAAAATTTATTTTCCTTTTCGTCAACCATCAATGGACTCCGAATAAAATTTCACTTATGTATAAATTCTCTTTAAACTCTAATAAAAATATCAGTATATCATTATATTGATTCCTAGAATTAATGTTTTTCTTAAAGTCGAAGAATTTTATATGTTCTTTTTAAATCAGAGTACTTACCAGTTCCTTCATTTCAGGTACAATTTTATAATCCACAAAGGCTTGTGTAGTAAAATTCTTTGACTTATCAATCAAGTAAAGAGGATGGAACCATTCATACAGGGAATAATACAAACCAAATCTCATTTTTGTGTGTTCATGTATTGCTTTGGCAAGCTGAGCTAAAAAAAAAAAGTAGTAACTTTTAATATTTTAATAAGATAACAAGATCATTTTCAAAGTATTAGTAGAAGAAGACTATGAATAAGTAAATAAATGATACTTTTATACATTTACATAATTCATTATATTTTATATTATACAACATTATGAATCCTTCTAATCGAAGTCTACGTGAAATCTTTCATAAAAAAAAATGAATATTGAATGAATGAATAAAAAATGATGCTTGTTGAACTCAACCTCCATGCTAGGATTCTCGCCCCCCGCTCTCTACCCACCACAGCACACCGAGAAGCTCGCCTTAACTTTATCTTGAACATTCTGTCTGTACAGAAGATTATTCAGCTTCTGTTCTATTTTCCAATTAGTTCAGGTTTACCCTTATGAGTTCTAGTGTGGGAAGAACGAAGTAAGCAATTAGCGGGGAAGGGCAGTTCGGAGGAGGGTCGGTGGTGGTAGAATATATTTGGAGTCAAGTATAGTCCTCCATGTGTTCCGAAGGACAACGCTCAATGCACCCATGTACATCACCGACATCATCGAGGAAAATGCGTTACCTTTTGGCCGGTTTATCTCCCTCCACTTCCTTTTTATGCAGGATAATGATCGGCCGCACATCGAACATGTTGAATGTTGAACCTACACGAGATTTGTATCCGCACCTTCATGTGATCTCCAAGTACGTGAAATGGATTAGATTCAAGATCCGGGTAACTAACTTATTTGTAGTATGCCTGTTATTTTCTATGAGAGTACTTGTCGTTATTCAAGAAAAGGGAGGCAACACTAGGTACTATAGATTCAGATTTCATAATTAAAATATCTGGTGTGTCCACTCACACGACTTTCCTACCTATTTCAGAAAAGTTTTTATATCTTTACATATGTTCATGAAGAAACAAAGAAGAATTGAACTAAATTTATTTTCCTGAAAATTGATCAAACAAAAGATTTGAGTACGATTTATTTGATAAACTAAAGCAATGAAACCGGCTTAAGGTAGATCAGTGTAAACATTTCAATACTCACTAATATTTCTGATCAAAAACTTTTTGCCATAGCTTAGTATTGTAAAACAATAATTTATTAAGTTATTTCTATTATTAACTTGCTTCACAACATATATTATCCCATAAGCATCTCTAGCCCTGGCTAGCGGAAGTTTTTTTATTTATGTTAAAATTTTACAGAATATTTTAAAAATGTGAAATTTAGTAAACACAAGATTACTACAACATTTATTGGATGAGTTGTTTCTTTTAGAAAGCTCATTTCATAACAGAAATCTCATTTATAGAACAAGCATCTTTTTGAAATCACAATCTATGGTCTGTGTGACTTAGCGGATGTCCAATGCAGTCCTATTAAGGTTTCCCCTGTTGGTTCACTTGGTTCATTACAAGCGTCTGCCTTGCTTTTCTGTTATGGACAGCTATTTTGAATTACTTAATTTTTTTTGTCCCATTGGCTGGTTCTCTATTGGCCCAAGTTAGTTAATGTTTTGGACATACTTTAAATAGGATAACTACTACAATTCATGCCCCATGCAGCATTCCAGCTAATCAGGCTGTCAAATATGTCTTTTTGGCCTATACCATTTTAAAGGAGCTGAGAAGTAAATTCCGGACAAATGCAATATTCAGCACACTCACAAAGAATGATTATACTTTCTCTAAGAAAGAAGAGTACCTTTATTTACCTCAGGATCAATTTCAAGCCTTCGTATATGTACAGAAGACAAGGATACATATCCATTAGATATTATCATTAAATTAAAGAATAAAATTTTATCTTGAAAAAAAAATTAAGGCTAATGATTAGAATTAAAAAAATATATAAAAAACAGGAAGCTCGTTTACCATTAATATCTCTGTGTGGCCCAACATCAACAGAATTCCAGCTGTAAGAATAGTTAGAAGGCCACATGGCATAACCATCATGATGTTTACTGGTAAATACAACATACCTAAAATTTAAAAAAATAGAAAATGAAGGATGTTCAGTTATAATACAAATATATTGGTTAAAACTCACTTAGCACCAGATGCTTCTATTAGAGATGCCCATTCGACTGGATCAAATAAATCTGCGGTAAACTGAGTGGCAAAGTCTTGATAACTAAAATCTGGCTTGTAATTATCACTCATATATTTCAATATTTTCTTTTGTGCAGATGGGTTTGGTGATGGGTTTCCTGTTAAATCCAATCTCTTTTTACTATTGAGAACATCTAACAATTTTAAGTATCCTTATACATGTATTTATAATATCTACTTTGTCTAGAAACTTTCTACATCTAAATTTAAAAAATTGGAAATTATTACTTGATAAACTTATCTTCTAAACAATACTGATAATCAAGGATCACCTTTCCAAAGCATCCAAAACCACTCAGAACTGAAACTGGGAACAGAATATACACCCCAATGTATGAATACTCCTATTTTTGCCTTGTCAAACCAATCAGGAAGAGGTCTTGTTTCCAGACTTGTCCAATTGGGTTCGTAATTCTTTGAGACCTGTATAGGAGCTGTGTATGATTTTGAGTTATTTTGTGAAGAGTCATCACATTTCCGCTCATTTGAAGTCACAATTGCTAACCCATTGACAGAATAGAAGTAGTAGCAAAAGACACCAAGCAATGCTTCCCTTCTCATGTTTCTAAATAAATCATAAAATAAGGGCTATTGGTCTTTAAATAGATACATACAAAAGAATAATATCAGTTGAAGTAAATCTAAATTATTAATCAAAATTAAGTATTTAGTTGAGCATTAAAAAGTGGCATCTTTATGGGAGGATTGGCAGAGGAACCTGGTCTTCCCCAGTACGAAATTAAAAAAAATGAACGATCACTTCATTACAAAAAGTTTTACTTTAATCAGACAAACCCTATTTACTTATTTTTTTTTTAATATATACATCTAATGAAAAAAATATGCTTCCATATAATATCTTTATACATATACATATATATATATATATATATATATATATATATATATATATATATATATATATATATATATATATATATATATATATATATATATATCTGATTTGTTTTTGGAAGTGTTTGATATATTTTTATTCAGTTGGGTAATTATTCAAGTGATAATTAAAAGTAAAAACAATAAAAAATAAATACAAGTCCCATATCTGTTTATCTGCAAGCAAGAATAAAGGTTTTTAATCATATCTAATAATTGTTATTACAAAAGAATAAAATGCTGATTTTATTTTTAATTATTAATATGTTAATAATAGGAAAGAGATGTGGAAGGTAAAAACTAAAAAAAAGGTGACACCAGTGTTTCCATAATACTCTGTATGTATATGAATAACAGTTCGTCCTAATTTAAAAATAAAGTTGGAATTTTAGTATTAAAATTTATTTTATGCTTAAAACTTACTAACGAACTCTTGTTTGTCAACAATGATTGAAATCAAGAATGGAAGTGTGAATGTTGTTGACTGTAGATATAATTTAGAAAGAAGTTGTTTGGAGGTACTATAAATGAAAAAAAAACAAAAGATAGATTTTATTAATTGTGAGCCAAAATAAATAAATAAAATATTAATAAAACTTACAATACAAATAAATAAAAATAATACAAACAAAAGTTTCACTTATTAGTATGTTTTGACTTCATTAATCGATCACAAATCCAACCAAGTTCTTAAAAATTCAAGAATGAAAGACAAAAATTATACCTTGTGATTGCTATAAGCTGGGTATTGCAGAGAAATCACAGACCCCAGGTACAAATTTTTCCAAGGTCCTCCTCAAACATTCATCACTGAAACCCAATCTTGTCTTCTAAAATGTATGCAACAAAAAGTTTATAAAAAGATATTTCATAATTTTCTTACAATATTTGCGATGCTCTTATATAATACATTATTGCTTGAAGGCATAAAGTATTTTTGTTAATACTTAAAATTTTTTGTAATACCTTACAAACAATAAAAACATATATGTTTAAAATCCTTTTTTTTCATAAGAGGTAATAATAATAGGTGTTTTCTCAAAATGCTCCTTGGAACTGGCAATAACAAGAGAAAAATGTGGTCGTTTTGGGAAGGTATGCAAAAAGTAAATACTAAACAAAATTACTTCTATTAATTTCTTATCACATATTATTATAAACTGATCATTGGATAATAGTTATATGCAGTGCTAGCCTAAGGACCAGGCAACCCCAGCAATTGCCCAAGGACACCTGCCACTTGATAATAGTAAAAAAAATTAAAAAGTGTATGAGATAATTAATTTTAACCTATTAATAAAGCAACTGAATCAGAAACATTTTGAGTAAAATGAAATTCAAATATTACTTAATATAAAACAATTTAAGAAAAAAATTAATTTTTTGGAGGGGAGATGATGTCATTGTCCTGGGGCACTAAATGTTTAAGGCTGGCACTGGTTATAAAGCATTGCATAACTGATAGGCCTGTTTAACTGAAAAAAAGTTTATTAGTCCATGTCAAATGACGTATTTGCACCCGATGCATAAAATACACATCTGCATATAAGTTTTAAAAATTAGTTTTTACCACCGAAAAGAAAGCACATTCGAGCCAGCCCTAAAATTCTAAGAGGCTAAAATTCTAATTAATTTGATAAAGTAATAAATTATGCCAAAAATACAGCATTGGATCATACGATTCATTTATGTTCTAACTATAATTTCATGAATCAAAGATTACCAAAATATATTATTAGCTACTCCCACAAGTGAAAATGTAACAATTGCTGCAATTACAAATCCTTATGGTTACATCTAGACCGTTTATGGGACAAAATAGATTTATTATTAAAAATAATAATAATAAATAAAAACAATGGAGAGGGCCTCCACAATAATCACAATAATGGGGGTCTGGGGTGGGTTTATTTTTGAGAACCTCTAAAAAAAATAAATAACCAACATTTAGTTTAAATTTAAAGCAGACCAGAGAGTAAGGAACTGGACTCCTATTCTTAATGAATCCAGGTTGCAGATCATTATTCATTCTTTTTTATCAGCTGTGATCCCAATCTTGAAAGCGAGAGACACTTCTTGGGCACATCCAGCTTCTGAAAATGTGGGTACCCTGAATTAAATAATTGATTAATAGTCCCATGACCATGGACAAAAAAAGTGTATTTGTGAGAAATTATAAAGTTTTGTCCTACACAGGTGTTTTCTGTTTAGAGTCAGGAATAAGTATCAAAAGAGTTCCCACCTGCCTAGTGGATAAAACATCCCAAAATTGATGAAAAACCACTCCTCCCACCCACCACAAATGGCATTTTGTGTCAGTTTTCTTCATTTGACTTCGAATCCATTGATTGGACGGAAATAATGAATAGGAATGAAAATATTTCTCATAACATTCTGCATACGACGTGTTTTAATAATTCATAATTGGTAATTGGTTGACTGTCGTGGATAATGAAGAGAAGAATAGTTGGGGTGCTCAGTCAAAAAAGGAAGGCAAAAAATAAATTATAATATTTATTTTTGACATATGCCGACGTTTCGACCTGAAGTTCAGGCCATCATCAGGGCTTTCTCCTTAAGTGTCAAGGGGAGAATGGTAAGTGTCATTCTCCCCTTGACACTTAAGGAGAAAGCCCTGATGATGGCCTGAACTTCAGGTCGAAACGTCGGCATATGTCAAAAATAAATATTATAATTTATTTTTTGCCTTCCTTTTTTGACTGAGCACCCCAACTATTCTTCTCTTCATTGTTTTAATAATTATTTGGCTAGTACTTACCGGTTTCGAGTAAACGGATTTCTAAGTTGAAAACAGTTTAAAGTATTTATGATGATATTTGCTAAAAATGACTTTGATAAGGCATTTGAAAGTAAATATCTAATTTTTTTTTTTTGTTATTAATAGAACACATTCTCTGCAGAATTTCATGGAGAATATTTTCATTCCTATTCATTATTTCCGTCCAATCGAAGTTGAATGAAGAAAACTGACACAAAATGCCAATTGTGGGGATGGGAGGAGTCTTTTTTGCGAATTTGGGGATGTTTCATCCACTAGGCAGGTGGTAACTCTTGGTTATTATTCCTGAAAATATACAGATAACCTCCACACTGAAGGGCAAAACTTATAAATTATTCCTTCAAATTCCCTATTTTGTTATGGTCTGAGGTCCTGCTATTATTATTCAAACTGTTCTTAACTTCGAAAGCAATTTACTCGAAACCAATAAATATTGTACTAGCCAAAATATTTATGGATCATTTTTAATGCACAATTTTATGAGGAATATTTTCATTTTTTTTTTTCGTTCGGTGGATTCGAAGTTAAATGAAGAAAACTGAGACAAAATGATAAATGTGGAGGTAGGAGGGGTGGTTTTTCACGAACTTGGGGATTTTCATCCACCAGGCAAGTGGGAACTCTTTTGATTTTTATTTCTGACAAACACACATAAAAAAAAAAAAAAAAAGAAGAAGAAATCTGTGAAGGGCAAAACTTAATATATTATTTTTCCACAAAATCCCAAAGTTGTGGGAAAAAATCTGGTGGTTGACCATGGCCCAGGCTCAATCACCTCCCTGCACTACCGTTGGCCTAGAAACAATATTTCCTTAAATAGTACTGACCCCCAAGATTCTTCATGGGTTATAGTGGTACAGGATTTTTTAGTTTATATTTAAAAACATTCGTTTTATTATATTTAACTATTTTTATCATGTAGTTTGTCATACTAGAGTTACTTAAATATAAAACCTGCACTGGACCTCAATAAGGAGTCCCCACTAGAAGACTATTATATTTACTTATCTTTAAGGGAGTCTCAATAAAAAATCCGCCCTGGGTTCCTAACAGCTGAATTTAAGTTGCTACGGGACAAGTCGTTTTTTTTTAGCCACAAAAAAAAATCCATTTTGGACCCTAAACGATCTAATCATGTTAATGGTCTATCCGCAAGCTTATAAAATCCAAAGAATTGTTGACTAGCTGGAGTTCGTTACTGAGTTATAAGCAAAAAATAATAAAACTGAAATGTTATTTTTAAATTAGGACGGACTGTTACTCATCTCAAAGAACTGAGAAAACACTGGTGTCATTAACCACTGTATTCTAATAGATGTCTTCAATAACAATGATCAAGATGAATACTTCATTGTCTGACATTGTTTAGTTTAGCACAGTTAAGCTTCATTGTATTCAAACTACTTTTGAAACGATTTTAAAAATAATAATTCAGCAGGGTATTCCAAAAAAAAAAATAGTAAATCTAAATGGGGTGTGCTTGACAGAAACATTTAGTGTTGCCCAAAATTGGTCTTGGTACTGACCAGTTAGATCAAGACCAAGGCCGTCTAACTGTTGCAAGACCAAGACCAGGAATGGTAAAAAAATCGATTTTTTAAAATAAAAATCAAGGTAAAATAGTTACTACTACTTGACAGTCTTAGTTACTATATGTTAATAGTTGGTATAACCAACATACTTTTGCATTTAAATCCTCTAATTTTTCATTCGGGCTTTATTATGTTTCTCCTATCTAAAAAAAAATACAGTAATAGACTCTTGCGCAAGACCAAAACTCACCTCGGTCTCGCATTTGGGCAACACTAGAAACATTCAATAAAGTTAGAATCGATAATCATTTAAAGAAACGCTTGAGGTTCGTTCGGGTTTAAAATGATTCACTTTCACCTGTTCTGTTTAATTTAGCATTGGAATATTCCATTAGAGAGGTAATGCGCACTCGAAAAAGGTTTTATCTGGGTGATTGGTTACGCTGGTGATTTGGTCCTGCTAAGGGAAGACACGGAAACTATAAAACTAAATACGACAATGAAAAGAGGTTAAGAACTGGGGCTCCGAATTAATACGGATAAGACAGGATATAGGGTTAGCTGTAAAAACGGCGTTAATTTCGCGAATATCGATATAGACGGGATATGTTCGAACACATAGAGATGTTTATGTATTTAGGGTCTACAATAACTAGAAAAACGAAATTGAAGAGGAAATTAATGTTAGACTGAAGGCGGGAAATGCTTGTTATTTTTCTGTATCAAAACTACTTAGCTCCCGCATCCTGTCTCGAAAATTAAAAATTAGAATTCACAAAACTATTATCCTACCTAAGGTTCTTTATGGATGCGAATCATGGTCGCTTATTTTAAGCGATGAGTGTTGCCTCATTAAGGTCTTCGAAAATGAAGTATAGCTCAGAATATTCGGTTAATATAATTGAAGTTGTTACATTGTGTAGAACAAAATGAGCGTGTAAAACTATTGAGCTTAGTAACAAAAGGGTCTTTAAAAGGTTAATATGCGCTGAGCCGACTGGTAAACATTCAAAGGTTAGACCGAAGCGAAGATGGGAGGATTGCGTTAAGGCTGATCTGGCGGAACTGGGTTTGGACGGCGACTGGTGGAGGAAGGTGTGCAAAAACCGCTATCGACATAGAACCTTCGAGTTCGCTAAACCTATAATTATTATAGACTACAAAGAAGAAAAAAGAATCCCACAGTGTCATAGGTGGCAATGTTTTGGCCATTATAAGAGCCATTGTAGCAAAATATGTGTTTCTATTCGTTGTTCGGGCCCACATACCGTATCAGTGTCCAAGAAAAGAATGCCCTAAATTCAAAAAATGCAATAGAACCCATACACCATCTTACGGGATATGCAGCTAATATAGCTACGATAGGAAGCCACGAACCACCTCCTTGGATGGAAAAATTCACGAACATGTAGCTCCACACCTCATTGGAGAGTCAAGGCTTTCCTCAGTCGGAGCCGCTAGTCTTCTATGTTTTTCTCTGCTGCATCCCAATGTTTTAT